CTGGCCGAGTGTGTTTGCTTAGAAGAGTGCAGCCGTCACAGGTGCACACAGATGGGCTTTTCTGAATGGGCGGCGAGGGGAGGACTGCAGCCCAGGTGGCCCGGGCGCGTGCTCTTGGGTAACCAGAGTCTCGCCCGCAGAGCCTGTGGACAGAGTGGCGGCGCTGAGGGAGTTCCAGGTGCTGCACACGGCCCTGCACAGCAGCTCCTCCTACAGGGAGGCGGTGAGTGCGGGGAGGCTGGCCAGGGGGGGTGGGGTGGGAGCTGCAGACCCGTTGCCATAGCAACGAGAGTTCCTTGGGGACTTTTTGCCATCCATGGTGGGCCTCAGGAGAGCCCTGCCTCTTCCCAAAGAGCCTGTCTGGGCCACGCGTTGCCGATTCCTCTAACTGATCACGGCAGGGCCTCGTGACAGTGTCTGGCAGGTGGAACGTGGAGGCCACAGAGTCCACGCACTGCTCCTGCGGGGCCTCGTCCTCTGGGGATGGTGACCTGCCCACCAGCTCTTCGCCGGGATTTCCTTGCGAGGAGGCAGGCTGGTGTCCGTCTACAGGGGGGCCAACAGGCAGGACGAATGTAGCTGTGGGCGTCCTGGCATGTGCGCCTATGAGACGCTAGTCGTCCGGGGTTGAGGGGTGCTTCTGTACCTGGAGGGGCCTTTGTTGCCAGGCCTGTAATGGCAGCTTTTATTTGGGGCGGGAGGACCCCGAGATCGCGGTTGTACTGTGGTCCTGCTTTCTAGATGTTTCTGTCCATCTGCCCTCCAGTAAACCTCCGTCTCAGAGTCTGAGGAGGCAGTCCGTGCTGCCGGGCCGTGTCCGAGCGTGGAGGGCAGGGGCCCCGCAAGCTGGCTGGCGTGCTCAGCCCTCCCCATCCTCCCGCAGGTCTTCAAGATGCTCAGCAACAAGGAGTCTCTGGATCAGATCATCGTGGCCACCCCGGGCCTCAGCAGCGACCCCATTGCTCTGGGTGTGTATGAGACTGCGCTTGAAGGAAGAGGAGTTGTTGGGAAGAGGAAGGCGGTTACACCGGGAGACTTCGGCCGCCTTGTGATTCCGGGTCTTGCGGGAGGAGATGCATTTGATACAGCCGGCTGAGACCTCCCACAGGGAGCTCAGGGCCCAGATCGTTGTCAATGAGGGTGTGAGGGTGCCAGATGAGGGCGCTGGTGAGCCTGACCACAGCTGTGGAGAGGACTAGCTGCAGGCCTCCACAGGAGGGGAGGAACCCAGAGACAGGAGAGACTAGCACCGACAGGGGAGAGGTGGAGGGCAGGGCGCGTCCTACAGGTGCAGTGTGGAGAGTCGCCGGGGTGTGCCGCTTGGTGTCTCGTTCCCTCTGCTGTTGGCGAAGGCCGGCTCACGGCTGTGCTGTGCCCCTGGCGAGCTGTGCGCGGAGCCCTGCAGCCTCTTTCCGCTCCTGTGCCCGGCCAGACATCCCCGTCTGAGCTGAGCCCTGCTCTTCCAGGGGTTCTCCAGGACAAGGACCTCTTCTCTGTCTTCGCTGACCCCAGCATGCTCGATACGTAAGTGCCACTGTCATGTCGGAGGGCGCCTGTCACTCCTCGTGAGCCCTCTCCAGAGCCCTCACGGTCACCGGCTCCTGCCCTCGGAGCCCACCCTGGTCCATTCCACTCCACCAGGTCGACTCCAGGGGGTGGCGGGAGGCGAGAGCGGCATGGGCAGGGCCATGCACAGAGGGTTGGCTGGGAATGGACCGGCTGAGGGAAAGGGCATTCATGCTGTACTCAGTGCTGTTCTTTTGTTTTTAGAATTATATTATTTAATTATTTTAATTTGAACTGAGAGAGACAAAGTGAGAGAAAGAGAAAGGAAGTGAGAAAGCAAGCCACCAGGTCCGGGACTTGAACTGTGGTCAGCCGTGTGGGAATTCAGTGCCCTTAACCACCATGCCACCTGCTGCCCCCCGCTCAGCGTTGTTTTTTGTTTAGATGCTGGGGAGCCCCTGGAAGGATTTTTTTTTTTTTTTCTTGAGCAATTTTTGCTGTAAGGCACATGCACTCGCCAGAGAGAGACTGAGACAGAAAGTGAGAAATCACCCCCCGGGGAATGGCCTCACCGCAGTCCCCTCTCCTCCATTCTCCTTTTGGGCACGCATGCACGCACACTGCTATGAGTTTTAAGCCACTGGGTCTGGGACTTGAACCACAGTTGACTCTGTGGGAGTCTAGGGATGTAACCATTACTCCATCTGCTTGTCCCATCCTAGAAGGATTTTAAGCTGAAAGGAGAAGCAGGTGTACAGATCTGTAAAAGCTAGCTGGGAAGGGAACGTGGAGGTCTATCCTCTTGTTTCGTAAGTGGAGAAAACCGCCCCACCCTGCAGAAGGGCCTGAGGCCACCTGGTGTGAGCTGACGGCATCTGGGCGGGATTGAACCCCGAGCTTCCAGGCTGCATTTCCCGTCGTGCTTGTCTGAGACAGCGTGGCGGGAAGGAAGCACCTGCGATGATTCTGGGCCCGGAGGTGCCACCAGGCTTGCTGGGGCGAGCAGTGGGAGGACAGAGCCTCCCGGAGGGCGAAGGGCGATACCGAGGCCAAGGAGCTGCAGGTCCCCGAGAATGCCAGGGCGCGCTCTCCTCAGTCCCCATGGTGTCTCCCGTCCTGTCCTAGACTGGTGCCCGCTCACCCTGCGCTGGTCAATGCCATCGTCCTGGTCCTGCACTCGGTAGCAGGCAGCGCCCCGATGCCCGGGGCCGACGCCTCTTCTCGGAACGTGCCCCCCAGCTCGTACCGGGACATGCCAGGTGAGCTGGGGAGCGGGGCCCCCGGAGCCACGGTGGCCCAGGCTGGCTGCCTCGGGGCTATGTATAGCGCTGGCAGAGGCCGGCGTGAGTCAGGAAGCGCATCTGTCCTGTAATTTTCCAAGGGGGAGAGATGAAATACAAATTTGGAGATCACTCGGGCTGAGATTCTGGAGCTGTGCCTGTGCCTTTCTGCTCTTCCTCCTGAAATCTGCTCGCCCTCCTCCAGGTGGCTTCCTGTTTGAAGGCCTCTCAGATGATGAGGACGACTTGCATCCCGTAAGTGGCTGGCTGCTGCCTGCCTGTCCGCCTGCCTGTGGAGGAGATGGTACTGGGGACAAGCCACTCCCTGGCAGGGGCCTGGGACCCGGCCCGGGGGGGGGGG